AGCTTCTCTGTTATCCGTTTGAAAATTTCTAGCTTCAAAATTACCTATTCTTGCCCAACAACAATCGTTCCTGCGAATTATTGAACTTGGCTGCTTCAAATACAACATCATCTTTCACCTAAAAGGAAATTTCACTCTCCTTATTCCAGCCTGATTATCTTTCCATTCACTACCAAAAGAACAAATACAAAACGCATAATCTCCCCAGAATTTTGTTATCTTCTCCAGTCACGATTGAATTACATAGATCGAATAAATTAAAAAAAATCTACTTTTATAAGGCTTTTAAACGAAAATAAGATCGAGTTTTGGAAACAAAAATGATTAAACGAAAATTAATTAAAATATATATATATATATATATATATATATATAAGATGACAGGGAGCCGCTAGGCTAATACCACTTTTTTTAGCTTCCTTTTCCCGAAATATTATGATGATTCGAAAAATATTCTCAGATGTCGGGTTTTAAAAGAATATAAAAACATTATTCTCCATTCTTCTTCTTCATCTAAAGAAGAACAAACGAAAAGCACAACCTCGCCGATCGCTTCCTCCTAATATAATAAAATTTAGGTCTAATGCTATCGGATTCTAATTTTCAAGAGAAGTAAGCTACTATAAAAATGGCCCTAGACTTTTAGATCACTTGTATTCTAGTTATTAGATTTTTAAAACTCATAATTAAACTTTTAATTGTTATCATTCTATAAACTACTATTAGAATAATTGATGTAACATGTTATTTTATTTCTTATTTTCTTTCATACTTGAACTTTTGCTTCAATGTCTACCATTTTTCATTTGTGAGTGAGTTTATTGCTTTGATTGAAATGTGGGCCACCCAAAAATCTTAATTACATGCAAGAAGCTTATGTTTCATAGAGAAACATAACAACAGTACCTTAGGCCTACCACCACGCCTTAAAGATTTCATCTCTCTCTATTCCTACCTTAGCTATCTAATCAGTCAAACTATTTTGATACTTGGCACATAATAAAAGCAACATTCGATATCGCTCGAGATAGCGGTCTACTTCATCGAACAAGTCCTACCATTCCCATGGTCTAAATACGGAGAGGCAATCCGATTAAAACCACTTGAGAGTCTGATTCAACTATTAAAGATGCTTTCCCCACCAATCGGTTTCCATGAATACTTGCAAAGCAGTTTTAATCGCCATTGCTTCCGCGAATTCAGGACTCAATACTGAATCTGGACCAGGGAACATTGCTCTAACTTCGCCCGCCGAGGTTCTTAACACTCTTCCACATCCAGCGGCTAAGTGATTAAACGCCCTGTCCACGTTAAATTAACTGAACCAGTTGAAGGATGGCACCAATCAACCGAAGCGATGTTATTGCCTGGCTGATCAATGCTTTTTGAGGGATTCTTCCACCCTTCTTCCTCGATTTTATCCAGATGAAAGAGCGAATTTTTGTATAGAAAAGCAGATCCGACAAAGATAGAACTTAGATTTGAACACTTTCATTCCGGGCTAACCATAAGCTCCATGGTGAAGCTGCTACAGCAATGAGCCAACATGATTTTAACTCCGGGGTAAGCAGTATTACAGCAGAAACGAGCAGACTCTCTATGTCTCCACATTTAGGCCAATTAATCAACCACCGGTTGCAAACACAACCCAAAAGCTCATTACGAAACTGCATTCCAAGAACAGGTAATTTATGGTTTCCCGCTCCGAGTCACTCACATACACACTTCATCTGAATCATCTGATTGAATACTCGATTCCTCAAAAAAACTTTAGTTTGGAATCTGTCTATTTTCAACATCCAAAGGAATGATTTCACCTTTAGGGGACTTAATTTTCCAAATCTTATTAAAATCAAAATTTGACTCATCTATCAGTAATAAGGAGATCAGATAACCTATTCACCGAAAAAGATCCCTGTCTTGTCATGGGTCCAGATGATGCTATCATTAGTTCCAGGACATACAAGTTCATTACACATTTTTTCTCAAAATCTCCAAAACTGCCCGCTCGTGATCTATTAATGGTCTGCAGAAATAGTTCGACTAATTAATATCTTTGATATTCGCATCCCACAAAAGAAGCTATAACTTCACCCTTCCTCGTACATAGCCTGTACAACCTCGGAACCATTTGCCTTAGTGATTTGCGCTACACCAGACATCTTCCACAAAAGAATTGATTTCTCATCCCCATTTTTCCATCTAAATTTCGAACGGTTCATCCATTGTCTACATCAGCACTAAACAAGTTTTTTTTGATAGAATCTGCCGTTGGGGTTTTATTATAAAATAAAAAAAATAAAATACAAACTGTGAGTCAAAAAGAAAGCCAATCGACACTTGGCTCCAAACGTAAACAAAGCTATTAAGAAAAATCACAAAAAAACGCATAAACAGAAAGGAAAGGAAAAAAAACTAGAGCAAAATGAAAAGATCCCCAAGAAGACGACGACGAACTCCTTAAGCTCACACAGCTATGAAACAAGGAGAGAACCGAGCCAAAGGAAGAGAAAAAACAGGGGTCCAAACAAGATCAAAGAATATCCCTGAAAACAACAGCTCCAGCAGATCATGGGGGTTCAAAGTTCCGACGGTCTGCAGCAGCAAGATCGAGGATGGAGGTAGGTGCTTCTTCCACCCAAAAACGATCAGTTGTTTCTTTTAATCCATGAACGGCCATTGCATGTGCTACGTGGTTTGCTCATAGTATCAAATTGCAGTGGTGTCGCGGTTACGGATATTACAGACGCGTTGCGGATATGTGGACGTTGTCGCGACCGTCTTTCAGTTGGGCTCTGAATTGGGCTTCGACTTGAATAAATGGTTAAAGTCGTCACCGATCATTTTAAAAACATTTAGGTGGATCGGACACCCTTACCTTATATGCGTTTTACTAAATATGTCGAGTTTGGAGTCGTTACAGTCAAAGAATGATAAGCACCCTTGAACTGCCCTTTCGGTACCAATTAATTTGTCGGTTGTCTTAATTGCGAAAAATTAAAATTTTAAATTAAAATTTAAAAACTCGATTCAATTACTTACCTTTAATTGGTTGGAACTTTTTAAAAAAAAGTAAAAATGTTAGATAAAAAATATTAAATAAATTAAAGAAAAAAACATAAAAATAGTAATAATAATAAATCAAAGGAAAAAAAGGTAAAATAAAAATAAATTAAAAAATCAAAGAAAAAAAACGTGAAATAAATAAAAAATTAAAAATAAATTAAAAAAAAGAATAAAAGCTTAACATATCAATTGAAACAAATCAAAATTAAGGGATTAAATCAAAACTAAAAAATGAGCTGCCAAAACAAAGAAAAATGTTAGAAGGACTAAACAATAAATTAAAGATAATGACCAGAATGCAAATGAAATAAATATAAAACTTCAAAGTATAAATTACCCAATAGTAATAATTCGAATGACTAAGATGAAATTAATAAAAACAAGGGCTAAATTCCAATGTCATAAACGCATAAATCATGATCATACCAGAACCAAATTGAAATGAGGATAAAAGAAGGTGCTCAAAATAAAAACAAATTCCTTTCATGATCCACGTAAAGCATTCATACAAATTTCAAGTACTAGACGCACAATATCCCCTTTTATTATTATTATGCGCAGTATCCCTTTTCTAAAACAGTGTTGTTTTACCAATTAACCTAAAATAGGTTTTATTTTTAAATTTGTCAAATGATACAGAACCAGAATGTAGAGATTCTGTCTAATAACTAATGTTGAAAGGCTTTTGAATCTCTCCCGCCATTGGCAAACCAAAATCAAGCTCGAAAAAAAAAGCAGTTACCTCCAATAATAGAGTTTATTAACTATGGCGAAGCAATCGGTGGCTCAAAGGTGAGATGTTTAGCTCCAATAATAGAGTTTATTAACGATGCGAAATTCATAAAATTATACTAATTTTCATCCCTATGTCGGATTGTCTCAACGTAGCCTGGCGACGAGGCTTCAACCGTAAAGAAGTGAAGATGGACATCCAAGAAGCGGGTATTTGGAATCTTATCAATCGCTACTGGATAGTCGAGATATCTCACATCAACCGTGAGCGGAATTGTGTAACGGATGCCCTCGCTCGGCTTGGTCGTTCGAAACAATAGATCTCGTTGAGTGGCAGCACCCTCCTGTTGACATTCAAAGATTCCTCCACGAAGACTCAGGCAGGGAGAACAAGATCCTCACTCACTACTAACGCAGTCTCTCTTCTTTTTGTAACAATAAAAAAAATTAGACTATCGTACAAAAAAAAACTTAAAAAAAATTAACTATCGTACAAAAAAAACTGTTATAATTTTATATTAACTTACATAAATTACGGGTTTCTATTTCTCTAAAATCATATCACCGATTGATAGAATTTTTAACTATGGTTTGAATACATATATCAAGGTAAAATCATCCAAATATTATGAAAAAATTGATTGATTTAGAGTGTTTGACACAAATTATTTGTTAGGATAGAGTAATTTTTATAGCATTTGGAAGATATTTGGATCAAATCAAATCTTTGAAAATATGTACGAATGACATGAAGTCTTTTGTATTATTATTATGTTAGATTTTCATTTTCATTGTATGTAATATAGAAAAACATTCTATATTTTTTACGTCTTTCTAAAAATATCAAATAATCCGAACTTTTCTTTATTTATTATTTATTCACTCTAATTAAAAATAATTTATCCAACACTTCATATCTATTTTTTCCACCACATTATCTTATCAAATTTACCCATACATCAATAATCTGAATTGGCCCTCGAACCCGTCTGAAGTTGATTATGAGATATGTGGATATTTCAATATGTCAAGTTGGTGGAGGGTAGCTTCTCATTGTTGAGTTAACCACCACCATCGATCTTTGAAGGTGTTTTTAAATCGAGTATATTTCTTCATGAAATCGAAACTTAACTCTAAAAGCTACAAAAATTATGCATGTGAAAATGATAATTATGATGCTCTTAAGTATGTCTAAGATGCATTTGGAATCGATCATGCCCTATTTTCTTCTTCTTGGGGTTGCAGCCTTTCGCATTTAGATTGTCCTGTTTGAAAATATTTTTCTCATTTCTCTTATTTTAGGGAAAAAAAGAATAAGGATATAAGAATCTTGTAAACATTTCCCTTAATTCAAGCTCACAATTGAATCAAATCATAACATGAGTTCGAAGAATATCAAAAGACATAAATAGCTCTTTCATGCTTTCAGAGTTATAGTTCTTTGACAAATATTCAAATTGATGGGTTGCCTTTAGGTTGACTTCCTATTTTCTAAGGTTTCAGCCACAAAAAAATGTCATTTCTTTTTTTGAACATCGCAACATGCCTCTTTTTTCTTGGCTTGGTATTTTAATCGGATGCGGAAAAATAACGCAACTAGCATATCAATTACTAATCTTCTATTTCGTTCTGAAATCTTCTGTTTTTCAAGCTTCGTAGGCTCCTCTAACAAGGCAGTGCAGAAATATCGTCTAAAAATGAAATTCCTAAGTGCTCGTGTGAAACTGACTATAACAACAGGTGTTCCTTAACTCCCTTAGTACATCTTTACCGAAACTCCTTATTTAATTTGCCATCGTCTGCATAGCTAGATCCATAAAGCCGGGGCGTTTTAACCAATTGCTTTAGAGGGACCTCAACATCATTGTATAGATATTATAATCACCTTTATCAGGCTAGCTGAATATTATCATAAGTCGAGGTGTTTAATTAATTGCTCTAAGGGACAACTCAAACTTTATTGTATATTATAATCACCTTATCAGGCTAGCTGAATCTTATCCATAAACCGAGGCGTTTAACCAATTGCTTTAGAGGGACAACTCAAGCTTTATTTATATTATAATCCCTTTATCAGCTAGCTGAATCTTATCCATAAAGCCGGGTTTTAACCAATTGCTTTAGAGGACAACTCAAGCTTTATTGTATATATAATATTATAATCTGGTATACGGGTCCAATTTCTTAAGTTTTCAAGAAGAACCTGTTATAGTCTAGGGTTGTTGAAAGTCAAAAAATCTCATCTTTAGAATTCAATTTCCAAGCAACTGACTAAACTAGATTCACCTACTCGACAGTTCTATTTGTGAAGATCATTATCATCAGTGAACGTCTTCAACAAAAGATGACCCATGTTGTCCGTTCCTATGCATACCTAAATATCAAGCCTCTTGTTTATTTCCCTTATGAAAGGATAAGGCTATATCAATCCCTTCAGGAGAAAGATATGGTGTTCGAGTGTGTCTTTTGGGGTAAAACCCAAGGGTCATTATTTGATCATGTCACTTTGTCAAAGATTTGTAACTCTGAATCATTTACAGATTTTTTTTTAATTCTGTTGATATTCAAAGAATTTCAAGTCTGCAAATTTGATTCAATGATCATCAAAATTCATTTAAATATCCTTATAAAAAGAAATATGTCAAGTTCAAAAGTAAGTTACAAAAATAAATATGAGAAGTTAAAAAACAAGTCCAAACATGATGTTGCAAAATAGAATAAGCCTCATTAGGATGCCGCACTATTTCTAGAATATCGAGGATTAGGGCTTTCCTCTGCACTCGCTCCTTATTTTTCAACCGTTTCACTTGTCGGGCTCCTTTTACACGATGTACCTTCATATGCACAAATTTCTTATTCGGAAGTGGCATTGCTTTCATCGTAAAATTCCAGCTCTTTTCTGTCGGATCAAGGCTCTAAATTCGACACATTCTTGTACATCGTGTTTATCTTCATTGTGATAACAACATTGTGATAACACAATTACTACAACCTTTGGAATCTGATGTGCTAGGATGTGGTGCAAGAAACCCCGCATTTATCATTGCCTTCATACCCAAGCAAGAGGTGCTTTACTTCGGAGACTTGGTTTTGGCTTTTTTACCCTTCTCTTTGGTGATTGCATTTTTTCTCATCTCTCGATGGCTAGAAAGAGTTTTGTGCAACAGGGGTGATTCTGAATTGTTGAATGAATCCAGCTCCTGTTGCACATTCTTTGGACAATCCTTTTAAAGGCGAGTCAATTTCAATAGCATGCCCCGGAACACCTCCATGATATTCACAGTGCGCATTTTCTTCATACCACCTGGGGTATGGGGCTTTAGAGGTTTCTCTGGATATGGTGACACCACATGTGCGTCAAACAGCGGTTGGTAAGCTCCTTATATATCATGGGAATGGGATCGAAATGCTCATTCCCTTTTCTCTCATTGGCTCTCTGAATCTTGCTTAGAAGCACCTAACGGTAGAACTACAATTGGTTTTGGTTTGGAGATTGTAACGCCTTTGCTAGCGTTGAAAATACTGATGATCTCTTATTCTTTCTCTTCTTCAGGAGAGATATTCTACTCGACCTATATCCTTGTTTAATGGTCGTTTTTATCATCTTTGTTCTGACTTCTTCACCAAATTTTGGAATACGGTAACCATTCGAATTATTTTGAAGTTTTGGTCTATGGAACCAGAGATTCTGGGTTCGATCCCCAGCAGGTCCCCAAACTATCGCGACCGTCTTTCGGTTAGGCCCATAATTGGTCTTCGACTTGAATAAATGGGTTAGAGTCGCCACCGACCATTTTAAAAATATTTAGGTGGATCAGACACCCTCTTACATGATATGCGTTTACCAGAAATTTGTCGGGTTCGGGAGTCGGTTACAGTCAAGGAATGATTAACACCCTTGAACTGTCTTTTCGGTACAAATTAATTTGCATGTTGTCTTAATTGCGAAAAATTAAAAATAAAATTTAAAAACCCGATTCAAATTACTTACCTTTAATTGGTTCTAAAAAAGTCAAAAATGTTAGATAAAAAAATATTAAATAAATCAAAGAAAAACATAAAAAATAGTAATAATAATAATAAATCAAAAGGAAAAAAATAAAAATAAAAAAATAAAATTTAAAAACCCGATTCAAATTACTTACCTTTAATTGGTTCTAAAAAAGTCAAAAATGTTAGATAAAAAAATATTAAATAAATCAAAAAAAACATAAAAAATAGTAATAATAATAATAATCAAAAGGAAAAAAATAAAAATAAAAATGTAAAAAAAATAAAAAACGAAGAAAAACATGAAATAAATAAAAAGTAAAAAAAAATTTTAAAAAAAGGAATAAAAGCTTAACGATCAATTGAAACAAACCAAAATTAAGGGATTAAATCGGAACTAAAAATGAGTTGCCAGAACAAAGAATAAAAGGTTAGAAGGACTAAAATAAATTAAAGGTAAGACCAGAATGCAAATGAAAATAATATAAAACTTCAAAGTATAAATTACCCAATAGTAATAATTCAAATGACTAAGATGAAAATTAATAAAAATAGGGCTAAATTCCAAATGTCATAAACGCATGAATCATGATCATACCATGACCAAATTGAAATGAGGATAAAAGAAGGTGCTCAAAATAAAAACAAATTCCCTTCATGATCCACGTAAAGCATTGGCAAAAGTTCCCATATAATGCTACAGGGAATTTTTAATTCCCAAATTAAAGTGTTCATCCGATTATTCCTCAATGGGGTATTTTCTACAGTAAATTTGGGATATCTCGGCGTCTTCAGGGTTAACCAATTTTTTAGTGGGATCCCGGCGTCTTCAGGGTGTTGGATTATTTGTGTTTTCTACGGTATTTAGGATTTCTCGGCGTCTTCATGGTGAACCAGATTTTTTTTACTCCTTGCTTGGATCTCTAGGCGTCTTTACTTTAAATCCATGAAAAATTTGGCCTTTTTACACAAATATCACCTTACATAAATTAATTACTTGTTAGGCACTGTTTGAGAATATTTTACAGATAAAGCAATTTTTAAATAATTTCTATAAAATTAATCATATTTTGTTAGTATTTTATTTAATTATTGTATTATTTAATTTTTTTATTATTTTATTTAATTATTTATTTTTTTACAGTTATAAAATAGAAAGTGGTCCTTGAATAATTATTTGGATTTCTCGCTTTTAAACTTTTCTCTCGGCTGTAAATACGCTCTCAACCTGTAAACATTCACATCATCCTCTAAACTAGAAGAATGTCGTTGCTTCAGTATAGATATCCACGTATTGAGAGCGTATTTATAGCCGAGAGAAAAGTTTCAACTAATTGCGGGCATCTCGGACAAGCAGATGTCTGAGCAATTCTCTTAGTATAAGTTTTGGAACGTAGGTACGTAATTATAGAAAATTTCCACATAAGGATACGCACCTTATTAGGACAATCAAGTTGCCAGAGTTTCTGATAGTGCTTTTGTCTCGGGATTAGTCGTATGGGATTCCAAGATAAACTTGTAGCCACTCGGACAGCGTATAGACCTTTTTTCCCCCACTCCAAGCTTGCTTATCCGCGATAACAGTATTAGGATTGCGAATTTTCAAGATACTTGAGCCTCCTCAGTGGTAATCGTAGCCTCTATTAGCTCCACATTCCAAGATCTTTCATTTGGTTTTATTAAAGCCACTACATTCAAACCCCCAGTGGTGCTGTAGAAATTTTCTTCTGGTCTTGTCCTGGTAACCAAAATCGTTCCATATCGACACCGAAGTACCAGTGCCCATCCTCCAACACAAGCCAGCCCTCTAGCACCACACACTATGCCATATCATCGACGGGTTTGTGCCCAACCTAGCCCCTGAAAATGTGGTGGTCGAGTAGTACTTAGCTCGAAACACTCGAGCCACTAAGAAATTCGGATAATGAATGAGTCACCAACCCTGCTTAGCTAAGAGGGAAATATTAAATTTGCCGAAGTCTCTAAAGCCCATACCTCCTTCCTCTTTCAACCGACTTAAGCTTGACCACGTACACCAATGAATGCCTCTCTTGTTTGACTTGTGACTTGTGAGACCACCAGAGGCGAGCCATGATTGCTTTAAACTTCTTGCAAAGAGTTTTCGAAAACAAGAAGCATGAGATAGCAAAAGTGGGCAAATGATTGAAGAATAGATTTTATAAACATCTGCTTACCCCCATCGACAGTTTTCGAGTGTTCCAGCTATTAATTTTCCTTCAAACTTATCGAGGAGTGCAGAAAAAGCTTTCCTCTTATTTCGGCCAATAATAGAAGGAAGGCCCAAGTATTTCTCCGGACAATTGGAAGCACATACCTCAAGGATACGGCTTACGTCTCTTTTGTTAAAATCAAGGACATTCGATCCGAAGAAAACTCCCGACTTTCAAAGTTAACTACTGGCCTAAACACCCAGCATAAAAATTAAGGACATTTTTAATGGCTGAAGCGCCATTCACGTAGCCTCTATTAGCTCCACGCGTCACCCAAATCCTTTTTAGGCTTCCAACAGCAGCTTCTCTATTAAGTAAAGTAGACAAACCTTCAGTACAGATGAGGAAAAGATAAGGGCTAATGGGGTCACCTTGTCTTAAACCCCGAGAAGGATGAAACGTATCGCCCAACCTGACATTGATTGCCACCGAGTAGGAAAAATGTCAACGTAATTAATCATCCACTGAACCCAGGTAGTTGAGAAATCCAATCAAAGAAGCATATCACGGATGAAATGCCATTCTACATGGTCATTCGCTTTGCCCATGTCGAGTTTTAAAGCGAACGAACCCGTACCCCATATCTATGGTTTTTAAGGATATGCAAAACTTCATAGGCAAGAAGAATATTGTCCGAGATCAGCCGATTGAGAACGAAAGCACTCTGAGCCTCATCAATACACCCATGAAACAGCGACTGAAATATGTTGGCGAGTACTTTTGAAAATATTTTATACATGACGTGCACAAGCTAATTGGCCAAAACATTGTCATGTCCTTGTTATATCAGCTGTAATCCGCACGTTAACATTATCTGAAATAAGCCGAGAGAGATTATTACCCTGTGAAGAAACAGGTTGATAAAGTAATTCTTTGCAATGCCATTAAGCTCCACTTCCTCGGTATGAAACTGGCCTTGCTGATCATTTAGGCCTTTAATACGGTTTTTTTCTTTTTCGTTGGGATGCATGGCTATGGAAATAACCAGTGTTTCGTTCCCGTGCTGAAGCTAGTTCGCTCTCGCACATTGTTCCAAACAAAACAAAGACCCCCGCTTCTGCCTACTGCCGTCACTTCATTCTATTTGGGTACCCTTAACTTTTCTTCACATGCTCTATTTTATTTGTCTGTAGTTTTGTTTCGATTAAAAAAAACTACAGAGGGGTTGGCGTCTCTAAGATAGTGCTTGAGACGCCTAATCGCTCGGGGTTGTCCCAAACCCCAAACGTTCCAACTTATTATTTTCATTATTGACGGCTGGCCTGCTTAGCAGGACCTACCGATGAATCTGATTGAAGAACCTGTGTCGATTCTTGAATAGCAGCAGTTGAGACACTGTGACTTGTAACATCATGTGCTGAGTTTTGATATCTGGGCCTTTTATTTTTCCTGACTCTCATCTCCGGACTGTCCTCATCCTCGTGCCCATTAACGTGTCAAATTCAAATCTTGACTCATTTGGGATGGGTTTGATTTGTTGCTCGTCATAATTAGACCCCACATGAGAGCTAAGATTCCCACCTTTGCTGCTTGATTCCATCTTCTGTTTACCAATGCTAATTTGAGCCTTGACATTGACTTTCCAGAATACCCAGATTTAGGCTCAGAATTCTCCATGATTTGCTCCTTCCCTGATTTATAACATTGGGACAAATATGGAAATTTATCACCTGACTGACCAGTCTCCCGAAGCAAATGCTGGTCGGGGTAACCGCCCTATGTGGAGGAGCTCGTAACGGTAAATCCCATTCAAGAGGTAAATCTTAGCCTCCGTGGTTGACTCTAATAAGGCAGAAACTTTCACCGTGGCCTGATTGGCTGCATAAGAAACAGAACAGAGTTAACTTTTCATATTCAAATCGAACGTAATGGAAGGTTACCGTTCTTAAGAAGCATTTCTTCTTTCGCTCCATGCTAGTCTGGTATCTAATCTGACTTGTATCCTCAATCCTTTTAAGTTCCAGCGATACTGCTTTTGTATCGAACTCCAGGAACGAACCAATGAAATCCCCAAGATCCCGAGCCATTTTTCTGTCATTCTGCCCGGGGATATCATGAACTCTAACCCAAAAGTTTGCGTGGGTTAACGGTACCACCCGGTGGTCTTCCCCTTCCATCAATCGGTGAAGGATCAGCAAGTGACTATTAAAGTTCCATGGTCCTCCTGCCTCTAGACGATTTGCATCTGTAGTGGTAAATAAGCAAACAAAATTCTTTTCTCACCCAAATCAGAAATTTCAATGCCTCCAATGGGGTGCCAAACGTTTGCCAGTGTAACTCTCATCGACTGGAAATTGACTATGCTGTTGGTAAGAAAAGTGCCGACAAAACACAGATCAAAAGACTCCATTTCACGATCCTCTTCATCCCCCGTCACAAGAACCTCTTCTTCCCTGTATTTAACTCAAGCCTCGCCATCTCTTCAGAGATCTCAGCCATGAGATTAAAAAGATCAAAAGAACAACCACACAAAAGAACAAAAGAAATAGTCAAAAGACAGAAAATGTTGCGGAAGACAGCTATCGGATATAGTAAAAATCACAACTGATAATTTGAGAAAATAAAATGAAGATAAAAGAGACAAAATTTACGTGGAAAACCCCTAAAAAATATAGGGTAAAAACCACATGCAACGGTAGAAGAATTTCACTATGAGAAAATAGGAATTACAACCTCTCTCGATCTACCAAGGAGAAAACAATGATAATTCTCTCTAGATAAAAAGGAGAAAACAACTCTCAAGAAACTCTCTAAAATCTCTCTAATATTGGAAGAAAGCTAGAATGCTTTGGGATGGTTTTGAAGCTAAATGAGCTAGGGTATTTATAGTTGAAGTTAAGGACTAATTTGTAAATACCCTAAATTACAATGACTAATTGCATAGTTTTACCATCCAAAATTTTCAACAATTTGGTGGCCAAATTTTGACCAATTTGCCACCCAATTAATGCCACCAAATTGACACCCATAATATTGACAATTGATGCAATTTGGTGTGCCAATTTTCAACAATCTCCCACTTGAAGATTTGATTGGAACATCATATTCACACCATTCTTTCTACCTTGTACCTTTCATGTTGCTTACGTTTCTGACAGGCCACAGGAGGATCGACCCCAGGTAAATTTATCAGCATTGATTGCCTTCGTCATGAAATCTGCTATGTTGTCTTTGGTATGGATCTTCTGCATATCTACTGTTCCTTCTTCCACTTTTTCACGAATGAAATGGTACTGAACTCATATGTGCTTAGTCCTTGAATGAAATGCTTGATTCCTTGCTAGATGCAAGGCGCTTTGACTGTCACAAAACAGAGAGACATACTCTTGATTGTGCCCAAGCTCCTCCAATAGCATCTTCAACCAAATTGCTTCTTTACTGGCTTGTGTAGCTGGTACATATTCTGCCTCTGTTGTGGACGTAGCCACAATTGACTGCAATTTTGAAACCCAGCTTACAGCTCCACCAGCAAATTTGAACACATATCCTGTAGTAGATTTGCTTTTATCCAAATCCCCTGCATAGTCAGAATCTACATACCCATTGATTAGTAAGTTTGATCCTCTATATAATGCAACATTTGAGGTCCCTTTGATGTATCTTAGGATCCTCTTTACAATATTCCAATGCTCTTTGCCTGGATTCGCCATGTACCGATTAACCTCCCACTGCTTGTGCAATGTCTGGTCTTGTGCATATCATAGCGAACATTAAACTTCCCACTGCTGATGCATACGGTACTCGAGACATCTCCATCCTCTCTTCTTCACTGCTAGGACTCATATTGGAGGATAATTTGAAGTTAATAGGAAGAGGGGTAGAAATTCTTACAATCTTGCATGTTAAATCGTGACAAGATTTTCTTCAAGTAATTCTTTTGTGAAAGTCAAATCTTCCTATTACTTCTGTCTCGGTGAATTTGCATCCCTAGAATCTTGTTTGCTGATCCCAAGTCCTTCATTTCAAATTCCCTAGCTATTGTGCCTTCAATTCTTCAATATGATCTTTGTTGGGTCCTGCAACCAACATGTCATCCACATACAACAAATATAACAAAATCGTTATCACCAGACCTCTTGAAATAAGCATAAGGGTCTGCATTAAGTCTGTTGTATCCAATGCACATAATGAAGGAATCAAATCTCTTATACCAATACCTCGGCGCCTGTTTTAGACCGTACAGAGATTTGTTCAACCTGCAAACCAAGTTCTTATTTTCGTCTTCTTCAAAACCTTCAGGCTGGAGCATATAAATCTCTTCTTCAAAGATTTCCATGAAGAAAAGCTGTTTTAACATCTAACTATTCCAAATGTAAATTCAATGTAGCACACATTGCCAAGACTACTCGAACTGTTGTTAGTCGAACCACAGGAGAAAATTTTCATTAAAATCAATACCTTCTTTCTGAGCATATCCTTTGACCACCAGTCTTGCACGATACCTCTCCACTTGATCGTCACCATTTCGCTTGATTTTGAAAACCCATTTGTTACCAATTGGCTTCCTTACTTGTGGTAGTGGCACAAGGTCCCATGTATTATTTTTATGAAGGGCTTCGATTTCTTCTTGCATCGCCATCATCCACAGTGAAGCATCTGAGCTGTTTATTGCCTCCTGGTATGTTGATGGCTCACCATCCTCTGTTAAAAGGCAGTATGCAATATTACCTTCTATAACATAATCTGAGTGCCAATTGGGACGTCTTCTCACATGATCTGATTGACGAGTTATTGGAGCTTCAGAACTCTCTCTGGTTCTTGTTCATCATGTGCTGGTTCTGCTTCAGAAGAATCTCCTTCTTCAAACTCTTTTTCCACATGTATCTGAGTAGTCTCTGACTTTTCAGCGCTATCATCGTCTTCTTTTTTTTATAGTTTATCTTCTACAAAGATAACATCCCTGCTAATGATCACTTTGCGGGCAGTGGGATCCCATAAGCGATACCCCTTTACTCCATCAACATACCCCAAGAATTTGCATTTCCTGGATTTTGGATCCATCTTTGAAATTTCTTGGGCGTTGTACATCACGTACACAATACTTCCAAATACATTGAGGTTTGAATAATCAACTGGTTTACCAGTCCACATCTCCATTGGTGTCTTCAGATCTATTGCAGTTGATGGAGCTCAATTCACCAAATAACAGGCGGTATTGACTGCTTCTGCCCAGAATGATTTTTCTA